GATGTATCATATATATATATATATATATATATATATATATTAATGAATAACCTTATTCAATTCCCCGCTTGTATTCACACAAAGTTTGCAGCATATTTTCATGTATAATATTTATAAATTAAATGATTTGCTGTGCACGTGTATTTGTTTGATATGATGTAGCTGGCCAAGCACCTTTTTGGGGCATCTAAGGTTGCAGCTACTGCTAGTACTCCGAAACTGGATTTGTTGAGGAGCTTGGGAGCAGACTTTCCTATTGATTATACAAAGGAGAACTTTGAAGAACTTCCAGAAAAGTTTGATGTAGTGTACGATGCTGTAGGTCAGATGTTGAAACTGAACATAATTATTTGCTTTAATTTACATGAATTTTTTTTTTCATGTAGATGGTCAGAGCAATATCTTAAAACTCACTGTCAATAATTAATCTGTAGTAGAGTGTGACTACATAAATTGGTTTGATCATGTATAACACAATACTTTAGTATCATTAATAAGTAAAAATAGAAAAAGAAAAAACTGATTTACAGATATAATTAACATCATTTTTTCCTGAACTACCTTCATCTTCATTAGATATCAAGAAAAAATTAAAATGAATCATTGGAAATAAAACTTGTATTACATGAAGGATATTTTGAAAATAATAATATTAAATAAGTTCATATTAATTGAAATTTTACTTATAGTTGTGATCAATATCTATGTGAGTTTTTGGCTAATATATTGCATATGGGAAGGAATGAGACCAAAAATACCAAATTATATAGAATGATAATTATACTCTCTAATATATCTTCTAATTATTTGTTAAAATTTATTAAAAATATAAAATTATGATAAAGATTTATTAATTATATATAGGAGATAAATTTTATATTTTCTGATAAATTTTGGAACATATAATAATTCTTTGTATTTCTCTTAAAATGTTATTGATATTGAAAACTAAAACATGGTAGAGTCTAAAAACAGGAGAGAGTGACAAAGCATTGAAGGGTGTTAAAGAAGGGGGCAAAGTTGTGACAATAGAACCACCTGCAACTCCACCAGCCATAATGTACTCTCTCATTTCAGATGGAGCTTCGTTGGAGAAACTACAGCCCTACTTAGAAAGTGGGAAGATGAAAGCAATATTGGATCCAAAGGGTCCCTTTCCGTTTTCTAAAACTGTGGAAGCATTTGCACACTTGAAGACTAAGAGAGCCATTGGAAAAATAGTCATACATCCCATCCCATAAGCATACAAGTGTACACATACACACATATATATATATAGTGTACAGATACACACGCGCACACACACATATATATATATATATATATGAGGAAGATATATATATTTGAAAATGGTTCAAACTATATTGGTATAATTTTTACCAATTAGTATATATATCATTCAATAATTTAATTAAATGTGATTTTATTGATCCAATTATTAAATTATAATTTTATATTACCTTATATATGTACGAGCCACCGACACTAGCCCCGCACCTGGAACCAAGTCAATGCTAAACTCCATCTCCCTAACAGGAGGCAACCCAGGCACCTCATCAGGGAACACCTCAGCAAAATCCCTCACAACATCAATCTCAGCAATGACCCTCTCGGTCTCCACACTCATAGCAGCAAGCAAAAGACAACACTCTGCTCCATCTCTCAGCGATGATTCAGCTTGGCCAGCTGAAATCAATAGCTCATCCTCCACCTGAGGAAAGATCAACTGCCTATTGGCATAATCTATAAGGATGCAATTGGCAGACAACCAATCCATCCCTAAGATTATGTCAATATCAACCAAAGGCAAACAAATCAAGTTCACCTTATACCAAACACATGACACGTGCCTCCTCAAGCACATATTACTTTCTCTATTCTACCAAGCACAGTAATCCAATGTTGAAAAAAAATGAGAAACCAGAAATATTTAAAATATGAACTAGAGCAGAAATGTGAATTGTTGATAGAAGAAGTAGAAGAATTTTTTTTTTGTTATTTTACTATCCTTCAATGAAATGAAAGAAAATACATTCATCAAAAAGTACCATAAGCAAAACTAGTACACAAAACAAAAGCATGCATGTTTAAAAGTTAAAAATAGTCATATTCGAGAAACAAAAAATAAAATAAAAACACACACAATGACATTTGACATTTACTGTAACAATTAATAAAGATCTGTCATGACATATATGAATCAAGGCTTAAAAAATGTGATGCAACTTGATTTAGTAACAAAAAAACAGGTAAAAAGGTTGTGTGGAGTGGTGAATGAAATTACAGTAATGGTTACCTTGTTAGTGGCAAGTAAGTAATCGAAAAATAAATACAGTACAATATAAAAAAAGGTTTTTTTTAAGAATCAAATGATTTAGGAACGTTAAAGTTTAATGTTTTGGCAATATACTAAATGTAAGTTAAATTATTTTGCTTTGGGAATTTGGTAATGAAAAAAAAGAGTAAGTAATGGGAAGGGCGCGGTTTTTGTTGTGTATACAATGATAAGTAAAAATAAATAGAGTATGATGTAATTAGAGTAATATACAATAGTATATATATTTACATTTAAGTATTTAAATTGATATTTAAGTTTTTAAATTAAAAAAAAAAGTTGGTTTTTTTACGAATCAAATGATTTACGAATGTAAAAGTTAAATGTTTTGGCAATATATTATTTAACAAAGTCAGTTAATTCGAAGCAAGGCGTCGTGGTTATTGAAACCAAAAGATGGAGACACACTAGTTAGAAACCAAAAGACGGAGGTAGTTAGAATGGTTTTATGTATATATATAAGTAACCACTATTTGTGTTAAGCATTTTTGTTTCCGTTATACATAGAAATATCGGATGCACGCGTGACCAAACCCCTGGTTCTGTTAGCCTTATCTATTCAAAATTCCCAGCATGGACCTATCATGTTTCCCTTTTGACTTGGTTCTGGAAATCATTGTCCGGTTACCGTCCAAGTCAGTTGCTAAATTTAGATGTGTTAGTAGGCAGTGGTGTAGGGTTTTGTCTGATCCTATGTTCTTGCAAGCAAACTACATTGCTGGTGGTGTAATCAAGAAACCCATTTTCATAAATTCGCTTTATCGATTTTGAAAGTTGGGTGTATGTTCGATGGACATCAGCAAACGTATTGATGATATCAGCATTTAGCGGCATATAAGGACAAACATGCTTGGAGAAGGTCTCATTTACGACCTGCAAGTATATGGAGTATGCAGGGGTCTGCTATTGGTGAAAGGGTTATTTCAAGGTAATATTTCTACCTATGTTTGGAACCCCACAACTGGAAATTTCCTCGGGGTTAACCAGAGGGCACTGACTGATTCAAGGCCAATAGTAGACGAATATATTCGTAAGTTCTATGGTTTAGGGTATGTTCCTATTGTAAAAGAGTATTTTTCCATGGAGGTATATGATAACATATATGATGGCACAGGCATCATTGAGCGTTACTCATTCATAAATGGTGAGTGGTCCACCATTCATACGAATATATTGTGCAGGTATATTGATCCTGATTTTACTGTATCAAATGGGTGGTTGGGTTTATATTTTGGTAAAGCTTTGCATTGGGTTGTTTTGTCTTATATTAGTCAATCATTTTTTATTTTAGCATACCAATGTAGTAGTGGTGAAGTTGAAGAGATTGTTCTCCCCAGCAATTGTGATTTCGAAAGTGTTGAAGTTTGTTCATTGGTGAACTTATGAGCTTTTGTGCAATATTTGACAATGTTGAAAGATCATCCTATTATGTTGTCAGAATATGGAGAATTAAGGAAAATGGTGGTCAATGTTATTGGACTCAATACGTAACATTGCACACGTTTCACTACGATTCTGGATACATGTTACCGGTGTGTTCTACAGATTTTGGTGTTGTTTACGTAAACAATACCAATGAAATGATGCTTAGGAAGAATAACATTGATCGGATTCTTGAGCATAAGAAATCTGAAGAAACCCTTATGTGGTTATAATTTCCTTATGATACATAGTTTATGTTTAAGGATGCATTAAGTTATGTTGTAATGTTTTAATTAATGAGTGTATTATTTTATTTTGTATATTATTAAACATTATTAGTCATTTGTTTTGAGTTCAGGGTTTTGTATTGTAGTTATACCTTATAATTGCAGTCATTCATTGGCATAAAATAACCAAGACTTTTGAACAAATGTACAGTTAAACAATAAATGGTAACAATGAAAAGCAACATACACAATTTCAATAACAAGTTATATGAAGTTATGTAACACAATTAACAGAAAAATTCATTAGGACGGAATAAGTCAAATTATAATATAAGTAATTAATATGTGGTATAAAATTAAGCATTTATAAATATTCAAATGGGCATTAATGTAGTAAATAAAGGATATTTATGATGAAAATTTTAACATTATTTATATAAATTTCATAATTCAGAAATTAAATTAATAAAATTTATACGATTGCAATTACGCACATGCATCCCATCAAAATTATAAACATTTCAAAGGGTTTAAGTAATTATTACCTATTCCGTAGTAGATCCACTGGCATGCGATTTTGTTGTAATCATGAATAGTTGATAAGTGACACGCTCAACGGTCGAGGTTCATTCGTGATCATGATGCCTGGCAAAGATTCAACAAATACTACCTTACATCTGTTACAAGCATATGTATTGTTATAATATTAAATTAGAAAATTTTATATGCAAAAAAGTTTATGTTGGAAAATATTAATGATAGTTTGTTTTTAATAATAATTTGTGATGAATGTTGTATTTATAAAATTGTTAATAAAATTGTTCATATTACCTATTAGGTTTGATGTTCAGGTGATAAGTAATGTGTAAAATATAAATGAACGGGGTACCATGTCAAAGTTAACAAAGTTCAGTCCAAAAAGCAAAGGGTTAACATTGAAACACACATATAGAAAATGAAAAAAAAACATCAATAAAGTTAACACCAACAGTCCTTGTTACAAAGAGGAAATCGTGAATTCATGATGGATGACCTGAAATGTTAAAAAATGTTAGGTATTAGGGTTGCTTTTGAAATTGGTTGACACTAATAAGTCATAATTGATATTCAATTGAAAATGGTTTGAAAAGAGGATTAGTAAAAGCATACCGTAGGAATTTAACAACTTTATCAAAAAACAAATAGTCAACATATTCCATTGCAAAAAACAGATATAGAAATAAACAGATAACAACACTTTAAAACAGAGCAATTCAATAAATATCAAATAATCAACATATTCCATTGCAAAAAAAACACTATGAGCTTCATACTCTAATCCCTCACCATCTGTTAACAATCGCAGCTTCTTCAACTGGAGCTATTCTTGTGATGACATTTTCAGAACATTGGAATATGTGTTTACACTGCCCAATGCATGTGCTGTGTTTGTATAAATGTTCGTCTAAACGTCATTCATTTTGTCTAAAAGATATGTCACAAATTTTTTTTTTAGGGAAGAAGATATGTCACAGTTGGTTGTCCATTTTATACACATATATTTAAAAATATTAATTGGTGTTTGTCTAAATTTTATTAAATGTAATATATATATATATATATTATATAAATATATAATATGTGATATAAATTTTTTTTATATTAACATTATCACTTACTACAATTTGACTTTAATAAATTACAAAATAAAGTTGGTTATTTTAATTTATTGTTAAAAAAATTTTATTAAAACAAAATTTTTCTTTAAGATTTATCATAAAGTTAAAGAGTTTGGTTTTAAAAATGTGGACAAAAATGTATACCAAATTAAAAATGCTGGTGACAATTTAGTTACATGGAAAACGAATTTTGAGATTAATTAGTAAATGGTTGTAGTTACATAAATATATTCACTGTGGATTCATTTCCGTAATTATTTAGTTACAATATTAAATTCTTGGAAAAAATTGATCAAAAAATGAAGGGATATCCTTTTAGAGGAGTGCTACAGGCTTCGAAAAGTATCCGAAACATCGGCCGAACTTTTAAAAAAATAATATTTATTAATAATTTTATTATTAATTAAATATTGAATATAATAATTTAAAATTTTAATTAATTTTTTAAGGTTTCGGAACGCATTTTGGAATACGTTTTCGGAGGTTGTCGAATTTTTCAATCCAAAATAGAGGTCGAATCATCCTCCAAATATTATGTTATAAATTTTAATTAAAAATTTTATTATAATTCAATTTAATTAAATATTTTCAATTTTAAATTAATATTGTCATTTTCAGAATCGTCGGAATACTATGTTATAAATTTAAA